GACCTACTGGGTAAGGCGGAGGAATTCGACAAGAAGAAACACGAGATTCGTCATGACATGCAGAAATGCAAGACCACCATCACAGACATCACAACCGTCGACCTGGATTCACCTGCTCGCGTGGAGTCCATCCTACGTCGAGCTGCCATGAATCGCTCAGTCGCTGCAACCAAAGCGAACGAACGATCTTCTCGATCACACTCCGTTTTCATCCTAAAGTTGATCGGAGAAAACCGCCTCACGGGGGAAAGAAGTGAAGGTACACTTAACCTTGTTGATCTTGCTGGCAGCGAGCGACTGAGTCATTCCAAGGCCACGGGTGAGCGGTTAAAGGAAACACAAAGCATCAACCGTAGCCTCAGTTGTCTGGGAGATGTAATCGGGGCTCTTGGCCAAGGCAAAGAGGGTGGACATATTCCCTATAGAAATAGCAAGGTATGTTGCTCGACCGTTTGCTTCTCGTCTTTAGTAATAAGCTAACTGTTGCCATGAAGCTTACATATCTGCTTCAATTTTCTCTGGGGGGCAACTCCAAAACGTTGATGTTCGTTATGGTCAGCCCAAGACAGGAGCATCTCAGCGAGACCCTAACAAGCCTCAAGTTCGCGACAAAGGTCCACAATACTCACATCGGCACTGCGAAGAAACATACGAAAATGATTCGCGAAACATAGTGTTAGTATAATTTTCTTTTTCTTTTCCTTTTGTTTTTGGTTTGGCATACCCGGAAGCTTTTCGACGCTGCTTTGGTTTCGTGTTTTTTTGTTTTAACCTCGACGATTTCTTTGGAGTTTTAGGTTCCCATTTTACCCCCAGTTGGCCCTTGTTGGCCAATAGCACACCCAAGTTATGTCATATACAGAGCTATGTATTGCTGTTAACGTGGTTTGGAGAGGTATTTTTCTGTTTTAGGGCTTAATTAGGCTTTGATCAGTGTAGATATGTTTGTCCAGAGCTCTTGGGCTCGGGCACTTCTAGTTTAGGTCGTGTGTACGGGTACGACAAGAATTCTAAACTTTTTCTGAATTTTCTCGTCGTCCTTGCGGCTCAATATTACCTTCTAAGACTATCGTTAAAAGAAAAGACGACCATTTATAAAAGGGTATTATCGATCTCTTTAGTATGAGCATCGCTCGGACTGCTCAAACTCACGCTTCTGCTCTCAAACAGACCACACAATTCATCCGTTCCACTGCAATCATCTATCAAGAAAGTCCCTGATTAAGATGAACGTTTCGTCCGGCTTCTCAAGCCAAGGAAAATGCCCGCACTCATCTAATATAACAACGGTAGCGCGATCTACACCAAGATCCCTCGTCTGCTCCGCATTTTCTGTCGTGCACTGGCAATCTTGACCGCCAAATATGATCAGCGTGTCCGCCGTGACATGCTTCAGCCCATCAATCATCCTCTTGCCGATCGCAGCGGTCCGATCACACAGCCGCATCTGATCCAGGCACCAGAATGAATACCCTTGATCCCCGACCGCCTCCAGATACCTGGGCACGTGGGTTGTGGGGTCAAAGAAATAGAGCGGGCTGATTCTGGTCATGAACGCCCCCAGCTCCTCATCGTTCGTCGGGTAATCCGTCGCTAGCGCCCGGTATGCATCTGCGAACCGCACGTCCCCCCCTCTCTCCCTCTCCTCCCGATAGCGCCTGGACGCTGCCGAGTCATCATGCCCTAGCAGCCGGTGATCGAGTAGGATGAGTTTCGCAACGCGTCGCGGGAACGTGGCGGCGTATGCCAGCACGATGGTCCCGCCGTGCGAGTGGCCCAGCAGCACGGGGTAGCGGTCGATGTTTAGATGCTGCCGGAACAAGTCGAGGTCGGCGGCCATGTCGAAGGAGGTCATTGTGGCTAGGTCGGTGGGCCGTGAGGAACCTCCTGACCCGCGCGGATGGAAGAAGATGAGTTTGTACTCGTTTTCTAGCGGGGTGAGGCCCGATTGGAGGTAGCGGGGTCCGATGCCCCAGCCTGGACATTGGATGAGGAGGGTTTTGTCCAAATTGGCGGTTGTGGTTCCGCAAACGCTGTATTTGAATGTTATCCCATTGGGGGCCTTGAAGGCATGGGTGCCTGGTGAGAGTTGGCTCATGCTAGTGTTTGAAGGGGATGTATTATTCCATTTGGCTGTGGAGGAGGGTTTGCTTGTGGGAAGCTGGTGGGGAATGAATGGAGTTGTATGTTTTAACTCAGGTGTTGGTAGCGATTGTGAGGTCATTGTAAACTTGTCTAGGCACATGTACTGACTGTACCTAGACGTATATTTATATATATATCACCGTGTCAAGAATTGGATGTTTCTACTTGATCAAGGAAGGACCAAGCTTCTATTGATAAACACCGTTACACCACATGACGTCATTCTCTCTTGATTATATCTGATTACTCCAACGTTTTTTACTCCTAAAGCCCATCAAAGTAGTTCTATTTAATAAACAATTGGCTACGCGATTGAAAGAATTAGTTGCATTATTTCCCACTGAAAGTGTCACGATGCCAACGTACACACGGGTCATGTTATTGTAAGCGATCCAATATCGACTTAATCTGTCATCTCCAGAATGACGGACGTACATCTCTCTGCCATTGCCAAAATTGCAAAGTATGTTGTTACCCCGCATGTATAAGCTCATATGCGAAGGGAGAAACAATACTGGATTTTGAAAAACGGGTGACATATAACTAACGTGGTGACAATGTTTCCTGGCAGAAAGCGTTTGGAACCAACTACACGGCCTAACTGCAAAAGCGCCGAAGGACTCGGTGGAAATTCTGCAGGACAAGACGAAGGACCACTGTGCGAGAATGGCTCAGGGGTCATGCTCTATCAAGAATTTTACGACACTTTGCGGCAGTTTTATTGCCCCCTCTTGCTACCTACAGTCGACTTTGGATACCTACGTCTCCTTATCTTCAGTGGGGATGTCTGGCTATCAGAACGGATGGAAACATTAGTGGGAGTTGGGAAGCATTTCGCAATTGAATATATATATCACTCTGGGAAGATTTTTCAAAGTCCGCTTGACTAACTTCGCTTCAAAGGAACTCGCGAAGAAACACTTTCGGTATATCACCGTTGGCACGTTGGATGGTCAAGGTGGGCGCTTCTATCGTGAGCGGCCGCTGAAGGCCAGGTTCAAGCTAGGTGAGCTATCTCCCTCATCTGGGGACAAGGCAAGAATTAGCACAATACCATAAGTGTAGTTACGTGGGGGATCTTCCAAAATCAAGAAGATTGGCGCATAGGGCTAGGTCTCTTCACCTTACAATTTGTATGGCAATTTGACCCGGGGTTGTGGTGTGGTAGGGGTGGACGGGGGAAAGTCCCACGCGGGGGCTTCCAACCACGTTTGGTTGAATAACTTGTATGATCGAGGGCTGTTCGATGGATCTATCGGCGGGTTCTTATTCGAAAAATTGAGCGAGTTCGTGGTGGAGCGGTTGTATGGTCTATAATTTATCTATCAAACAGTTTTATTAAATATATTAGAAAATTCTCAGAAAAGCTCCTTACAAATAAATCTCGCATATTTGAAGATAATTGATAGAAAACAGTGAAGATTCTCATTATTATTCATAATTACAATTATAATATAAAGGAAATTGATCTAGTAAATTAGTATAGAGCTTTCTATGAAACTTTTATACTCAGTAATTGAATCTGATTGATAATTCAGGACTGAATTATTGATCATGCTATTGTCAATACTTATATTCTTCATTGACTGACTACTACTGACTTCAGCACTGACTCTACTACTGGCTTTACTACTGACTGTGATACTGGCTCTGACATATGCAAGTCTGCTGAAAACTCTATTTTCAACTTTTTTTGAATTCTCCATTTACTACTTAATCAAATTCAGATCTGAATCATTATTGAAGTTTCTTGTCATATACTCAAACTGATATCTAGACTCTGATGTCAGTACAAAAGAAAGATAGCAGAGAAAAGCAAAGAAAGAGTTTCAAGAGATTGTATAACATGTAATAATATTTCTCTCTGCTTGAGAAGAGAGTGTTGAAAGAAAGAAGCTTCATTCTCATGATATTAATTAGAGCTAGATTGCAGCGTACGCCAGCTACATATAGTATGTGTAAAATGGTAAAATCTTGTCTTGTTCTTCTTCAGATGGAGATGGGCGGGCGCCCCTATATATATATATATATATATACATGCTTGTCTGTTTATCATGATTGAGTCAACAGAAGGAGTGGAATAGTGGAATAGGGGTGGAGCTTCTGGATAGGGGGAATAAGGATGGGAGCGGAAGCCCTGGGGAAGTAGCAAGGATCAAATAGATTACATAAATTACACTAAAACATGTCAATACATCCGGTCCCTCATATTATTCAGTAGTTCTTGTGTATTCAATACACTAATGTACACACTAAAAAATACACTAATTGTTGCCTCTTCCCCAGACGAGGGGATAAGCTCAAGCTTAGCGGCGGCACATCAAACGCCACCAGAATAGCCTAAACCGATATTTCTACAGCTTCTAGCGAGGTGAGTGAGCGTGTACATATATATATAATATATGACTCGGAATTGTAGCTTTAAAGGTTTACTTGAACCTTCATCACGCTACTCAGCTTTGTGTCATGTAGTACGGCATTGGCAGGCTATATATGCCCCTACATACCACCATATCATACACCATGCGCACTCGAAAGCCCCAAACCAGCAGGATTTAGATCTTGCTTCACCCCAGATTTTTCGGGATTAAGAACAACAAGAAGAAACCCTCTCCTCCACCGCGCCAAACTAGGTGCATCAGCTTGAAACCCACAGAGGTAAAATCCAAGGCATGTAACACAATATGTTGTGCCAGACACGTAGTGCAAAGGAAACCATCCCCCAGTAAGTCCTGGCCAACGTCGCATCTACTATACCAAGATAGTTATTGAGTGGCGAAACGGCGGATACATATAAGGCGATCCCTCCGACCGTGCTTGCCCTAGGTGGGTGGGTGTTGCTGGCAATATCTCAACCTTGCGCTTCCTGCTTTCGTCACAGAAACCTAATGCCGAGGTGAAACAGACGTAGAGTTGGGATAGGGCACCACAGCCATAGCGTGGATATACATCGTTGCAATTTCGTATATATATATATATTTATATATATAATCCTTCAAAAATATCCCATCTCGTCCTGTGGAAGTCCGCCCCCGCCAGCATGCCGAACATATTCAAACAACAGCTTATCGATACGCCCCGAGAGGCGCTTAACTGGAAACTAGGGATGGGCGTCCTGTGCTTCGGCATCATGGGTGCCAGTCGAGGTAAAAGAAATTTTGCACTCTCTATTTTTTTTTTAAAAAAACCCGTACATAGCAAAACTTGGCTTTTTGTTGTCATCGGCTGATACATATATGGGGGGAAAAAAATCAGGCATCGACGAAGGGCTTATTTCGGGCACGGTGCAGCAGAAATCATTTATTGCTGAATATCATCTGGATGATCCTGCTATGAGCGCCGGAGCTAGGGCCAGTAGATTGGGAAATATAACAGGGATGGTTCAGATCGGGAGCATCGCGGGCGCATTGCTGTAAGTGTACATGTATATATATGTGTGTGTGTTCGTGTGTTTTATAAATATATATATAGTCTCTGTTTTCCTATAAAGTGGATGATGCATCTTGCAGGGACAATTATCGGGCGGCGAGGATTATGAAGGAAACAAATGGCTGACATTTCTCCAAAAAGAGCGTTCATCGTGACAGATCGTATCGGGAGGATCTGGGCGACGAGACAGCTGTGTGCAATATGGGTGGCGGGCATCGTGATATTCATTACGGCACATGGGCGGATCGGACAAGTTTACGCTGGCCGGTTCATCGCCGGCATTGGGGTCAGATTCTTCGAAAGAAAACTCGCATTTTTCATTCCTGCTCGTGAAACGTTTATATGCATTCATTCATTCATTCATTCATTCATTGACAAAACGGGTTTTCTAGGTCGGGCAAACTACCGTTGTGGCTCCTACGTATTTAGCGGAGATTTCTCCGCGAGCAATACGCGGCCTTTGTATGTGTGCGTTTTCTGGATCAGTGTATCTCGGTATCATGCTGAGCTATTTTGCGAGCTGGGGGAGCTCGATACATATTAGCAACGCCTCAGCAAAGCAATGGGTAAGGGACTGGCATTATTAATTCTCTGCGACTTCCCTCTCTCCGCGCCGTGTTTCAGTTCAGTTCACGATTAACAAACAAACGCAGATTGTACCAACGACGCTTCATTTCATATTTGCCGGAATCATCTTCATCCTTTCATTTACAGTTTATGAATCACCTAGGCACTTGGTCAAGGCCGGTAAACAGGAGCAGGCGCTGGAGACAATGTCAACCCTGCGCAATCTTACACCAGATCATCCATACGTTCAAACGGAGATGATGGACATCCAGGATCAGCTTGAACGGGAGCGCGAGGCTACCATGGGGTCCCATTTCTTCGGGCCACTCAAGGAACTGTTTACATTGCCTTCCAACCGGTACCGTATTATGATCGGACTCATGTCGCAATTGCTCAGTCAGTGGTCGGGAGCCAATAGCATAACCATCTATGCACCCCAGTTCTTCGCGATATTGGGCACAACGGGACAATCGGAGAAGCTTTTTGCAACAGCAATTTTCGGCGTTGTGAAATTAATATCCTCTCTCGTCTGTGCGCTCTTCCTGGTCGATTTCTTGGGTCGCAAACGTGCTCTGGGATACGGGATCACGCTCCAATTTCTGAGCATGCTATACGTGGCTATCTATCTGGCAGTGGTCCCGTCGATTCAAGATGGATTTAAACCGGAGGGACACTCGAAGCGTGCTGGGACAGCCGCAATAGTGTCCATCTATGTGTCTGGGGTCGGCTGGGCACTTGGCTGGAACAGCATCCAGGTTCGATGCCATGTCAAACTCGTGCTAGATTCCTCTTTTTTTGTTGTTGTTACAAATAGCTAACAATGCCTTCCACAGTATCTCATAAATGCAGAAATTTTCCCCCTTCGAGTCCGAGCGTTGGCTACATCGATGGTGATGTGCTTCCATTTCGCCAATCAATAGTAAGCTTCTTTGCCCATGGCCCATCCCATATGTAGCAGCCCGATAGCGAAAAGCATAGTAAGAACGCTGCCCACTGCTAACCTGGATGGATCTCAGTGGCAATTCAAAAGCGGTCCCAACAATGCTGCTTGACACAGCCATGAGGCCTCATGGCACATTCTTCTTCTTTGCGGCCGTCACGCTCATCGGACTCGCATGGATGTGGTTTTTCCTACCTGAAACGGCTGGAAAATCACTGGAGGCGATGGATGAGATGTTCAGTTTGCCGTGGTATATCATTGGGAGGAAAGGGGCGAAAATCACAGCGGGAAGTGGGCATGCTGAAGGATATAGCGCGGGAGATGCGGAAAAGGTGCCTGTCCCGGTCTCAAGGGAGCGCAGTAAGTCTGCTCTCCCCAATTAATTAAAGAGAGACGAAGGGGGGAATAGGTAGGGTATTTTTTATTTTTATTTTTATTTGTGTGTGTGTGCGTGTGTGATATTGTTGAGTCATGCCGTTAATGCGGATACTGGGCAAGGTCCTCATATGTTCAAAAGGCCTCACTACGTGAATCAAGTTTCCATCAAGGGCAAGGTGGCTGAGAAGGCCCATAAAAAGGAAAGAAAAGAAAAAGAAAAAAGGAAAGGAAAAAAATAGAACACCTTGTAAGACAGTGAAATCCCAGAGCTGAGATCTGATAGCCAGCGACACGGCAATGCACGGGGTTCGTACTTAATTAAAAAAGGGCATCAGAAATGAGTCCTGTGCAGTCTGAGAATGTTGGATATATTTGTGTTGGCCGTGAAAATAGTTTTCCACTGATCCAACCCCGAATGAGTCATGTAGTGTAGTTGGATAGATTACGATTCGTGGTGGGATGAAGGCGCCATCTCAAAAATAACAACATGAAAAATTTGTACAGTGGGGGGAAATAATTATACGTACAGATGCTGAGTTCCAGGGGCATTTTCATCACTTAACTACTTGGTCATAGCAGCATCCACCAGTCACTCTGTATATAGCTCATCCCCTGCTACTAACTGTAAAATGGGAAGAGCTGCTAGATTCCGCGCCTGTCCACAACAAAGAACCAAGTCTGAAATTGAGCGTCTTGCATAGAGGTTCATTGATAGCGGCGTTGGATCAGAAGGCGCAGGCACTGCGGTTGTCAGAGCGGCTGAATATGGATGCATGATAACATCGCGCAGCACGCTTCCCATATGGATTCTTCCTTATTATGAAGCTGCATCCGAATTATATAAGTTGAATCCTAAAGTGCTAGATTCAACTGGTTGCTGGAAATGCCGTTCTTGGTGCGTACGCTGTTGGGTTTCTGAGAACGGGTGATTGCTGTCAAGTCAGCCTGTTTTGACTCTGTCAGAGCTAGCTTCTTTTTGCTTTGGAGCAGGGTAGGTGGAACTTTCAGCGAAAAGCGATGGATCGGATGAAGAGAATGATGGAAATGGCGTGAGCGTCGCGCCGAGACTGCATGAGTTTATTTCTAATTTCTAGGGTAGACACCATGTCAAAACATACCCTATAAGACTCACACGGGCCTTGGTTCCTGAGGATATGATATTAACATGTTGATTTTCGTTGTTGCACGCATTATTGTGTTCTTTCGGGAGGCTTCCTCCCTGGCCGACCGACCTTGGTTGGCACATCACTTATCAATGCTCACATTACCCCTAGCACCACTTGAATAACAACCATCGAGGCATACTATAAATCATCAGCTTTTATTCATCCTTATACCGCAGTAACATGGTGCATAATTTGAGGAATGAGGAAAATACTAACAATTGAACAGGCAGGAAACTCACTTCACACTGCTCTGTAACTAGTCCTGTATTGTCCTGTTGCTCAAATACTGCAAGACCCGCGGGATGCAGGATGGCTCCCAGACCTTATCACATAACTCTAGAAATCTGGCTCTTTGAGACTAGCTTCTTGGTGAGGTCGTGCCAGGATTGTTGGAAGCTAGTTTCACCATCCCTTTGCTCCTTAGTAGTTACTCCGTACAACCAGTGACCATTCCTGTAGGAGGATCAATGTTGTGTGAATTATTTATTATGTAGTTATAGAATAATGAGTAGCCGGAGCAACTAGTTACCAACATTCCCCACGAACCCAGAATCGTGGTAGGAAGATAAGAGTGAGAAAAGCACAAGGCGTAAATCTTATCAAAGAAGCATAACCCACAGGGGCACTTGGGAGACGAGAATAAAATCGCGACGAGCCTTGAAGAAGAAATAACACAAGTAACTACGGACTTGTAGTTAGCTGGTTGAACGCTGACTAATAACTAGTTAACTAACTACGCCTCCCCCCAACCCAACCGTCATCCGCCAGAACTATTTTTCCTCGTCATCGCTCGCCGCTTTCGCAGCCAAACGAGCAAGCGAGAAGAACGACAAAGACAACAAATAGCACAGTCCAAGCTGAGGAATCGCCGGAAGACAGATAATAAAAATGTGTTTTGATGACTGGTTCCCTCAATCCTGAAGTCACCTCACTGTCTTCATTATTGTCCGCTCCCCAACATTCTTCTCCTCATCACCTGTTTGTGCTGAGTGGCTTCATTCTTCATTCCAGCAGCTTGGATTTTGCATGTGATTGTGCTTCTCGTACCGTACACAAAAATTACCCACCAACGACCACGACAAGAGAGCTCGGGGGCACAGCAGTTTCCTTTGATATACTATCGCCTGATCTTTCACCATGGAGAAGTTTTCTCAGTTCAGAGATAGAGGTATGCACCTTACCCACATAGCGTCTTGAGTTGCGCAGGGCATGTAAATTATACTATACCCACATGATAGCTGACAAGCCGAAAATGAATGCTCTCCAGGTTCCGGAATCGCTCCTTTTCTTCCTATCCCTTCCCAGCCCTCGGGCATATACCTTCCATTCCACATCTTCCTCTTCTGCATGCGGCTGCCGCTGCTCATAACCGCGTTTCTCGCCTACTTCTGTGTGCTCCAATGGCTGCCCATCGGATCTTTGGGCAAGAAGGCCTCACTGTGGGTAATGCTGGGCATTCCGGGCATATGGTGGATTGATCTTCAGATAGATGGTGTTAAGAAAGGGTATGCGATTGTGATTTTTTCCTCTCCTCCCGAGACGTCCGTCGCTGACCCGTTTATCGTTTCGTGACAGATCGCTTGCCTCGCAACATTCCTCCCGACTCCCAGGCCCCGCGTCCGTGATCGCCTCGTCGTTTACCTCCCCAATCGATGCGCTCTACCTTGCTGCTATATTTGATCCCATATTCACGGTGTCGTATCCCTTTACGTGCAAAGTCCAACAGATTTCTCTGGTCCAGGCTATTCTCCGGGCTTTCGCTGGCCCGGAGGTCAAGCCACCTGTAGACGCGCGCCTGGTCGATATTGCGACGCTGATAAAACGGCACCCAAACAGCCCCATCGTGATTTTCCCAGAGTGCACCACCACAAACGGAAAGGGTATCCTACAGATGAGTCCGTCTCTTGTCGCCGTCTCTGCGGTAACAAGAATCTTCCCCGTCAGCCTGCGGTACTCGCCCGCAGACATCACCACACCAATACCGCAATCATACAGGTCCTTCCTGTGGAATCTCCTGAGCAAACCCACCCACTGCATCCGCGTGAGGATTGCGGAGAGCATCCTGCTTCCGACGTCCGGCATGAAAGATACCAAAAGTGCGAAGAACAACAACAATACTGATAAAAATATTAACGGATCCGACGGCGGACAGCCATCGTATGACTATAATTATTTCGACACACTGGACGCCAAGCTAGCTGAGTCGTTTGTGGATCTTGATGCGTCGTTAACGAGCGGGGAGCAGACGCTGCTGAATCAGGTTGGCGAGTCGCTGGCTCGACTGGGACGGGTGAGACGGGTTGGATTAGGAGCGAAGGATAAGCAGCAGTTTGTCAAGTTATGGACTGCGGGGAGGCGGAAGTAATAGTATACGGTTGTGGTGGTTTTTTTTTTTTTTGACATGACGAATTAATTTTCTGTTCTTTTTATATATACGTAGCTACTTATTCTGTTTAATCTTTTTTTTTTTTTTTTTTTTTTTTTTTTTTTTTTTTTCCCTTTTTCCCCTCCGTCAACTTTCCAGAGGTCATTCTCCACTTTCCATTTCCATTTCCTCTCTCAGTCGGTTAGACACCGCCGGCTCCTTTCTCCTTTTCCGGGGGACAGCCCATGTTTCTTGCCCGTTGGACCAGCCGTTCGGACCTCACGCGGTTCCTGATGAATCGTATTTTTTTGTGGGACTACCACTACATATGTACATACATACATGTACATACATACATACATACAATACATGCATGCGCTAGTCACGGCTAGGAAATTCCTCCTCCTACCTAGGTACCCCTCTCTCCATTCGACTAGATTGATTCCCCCACGATCGGTTACTAGCAATTACTTCAGAGACCATGATTGGTCGCTGCTGTTCCTTATAT